CGATTATTTTAGTAATCGATTAGTCGTCGATTAATCGTGGCAGCCCTACTTCTGTGATATTACTACTACTTCTACTTCCTGTTATCTTCTTCATCATCGTCTTTTTCACCAGTAGAAACAGACGGTTGTTGATCACGTGACTCCTGTGATGTGAAAAAAGTGTTTCCATTGCAGTTTTGCGAAAAACACCAATTTCGATACGGCCGAAAAACCACCTCATCCTAGAGCAAAAACATTTTGTTGAAAAACATATTTTTTTTCAAAATAGACATGTTTCCATTGAGAAAATTTATTCTCGAAAATCTGATTTGCGCATTTTCATGGTCACTGGAAGCACAGCTTGTGTCTGCCTCAGTCTGCGGCCATTTTTTAACACCAGGCAAAAAATGCCTTTAAACCAGCTTTTAACTTTAACAAGTTCCAGTTTAAATCTGACTTGGTAAAACCTGCAGATACTCTGCTCTGTGTGCTCACTGTGTTTTCAAGTAGAATTGTGAAATATTTTCTGGTCAAACTTCTTCTTTTAAACATATTAAACATGTATTTGTTTCTGTTTCAGGGGGTACGCGCCGTCATCGCTGAGAGCTTTGAGAAGCTACACAAGAACCAGCTGATTGGAATGGGCATCATGCCGCTCCAGTTCCTCCCAGGTCAGAATGCAGACACTCTGGAGCTCAGTGGGAAGGAGAGGTTCAGCATCATTGTTCCAGAGAACATGGGTCCGAGGCACCAGCTCACAGTCAAGGTACTGAAGACTTGAACAGAAAATTTTAAATCCAGTGCAGTGTTCATTAAAGATGTTTGTGTTCTCCTGCAGACCAGTAAAGGAGCATCGTTCTGTGTCATGGCGCTTTTTGACACTGACGTGGACCTTATATGTTTCCAACATGGAGGGCTCCATAGGTACGTCGCTTGGACTGTGCTCAACAGCAGCTCAGCGCCCAGACCGGACCGCACCGAATGTTCTACATGTCCATAAACAGCAGTCATTTTAAAGTTTGTGTCTTCAGCTTGAAAAAAAAAGGCTTCACTAAAACAATGAAGGAGACTCGCTCCTTCTTTTTCCCTGGAGATCCAACATTTGAAACAGACGAGTGATTTTTGTTGAAGAGTTCCTAAAGAACATCAAAGCCCAGAAGGAGTTTTGGCATTCTGTGTGGCAAACGGATCTAAAATCACTCCAAACTGTCAAGATGCATTCCTGGAGTACTCAGAGTTTTTGTTTATTGATCCAGGAGGACATGAGTTTTTGTTTTTCACAATGTAGAAAATAATCTGGTTTGAAAGGTGAAGGTGGTTTTAGTTTCAGAGGCATGAATAAACTCTTATTTAAGATTTTATGTCATATTTCTTAACCCCAACTTAAAGGGATCCCTGATTAGTTCCAACATTAGACTTTATTCAATAAACAAATATTTTAACTGTAAAATAAGGACTGTAAAAATACTGTAGGATGTTTAGTTTTTATAATTTTTAAACTAAAAGTTTAAAAATA